TACATAATATTTAGAACACCGCCGCACACCACTGATTATATATATATATATATATATATATATATAAATGCATCTTATATATATATATATATATATACACACACACAGCTTTATTTACTTGATATATATGTCTTAAAAGCTGTCAAAGAGAACAGCATACAGAGAACGAATGATGTTTAACTTTGTACACACCCATGTTCAATCTCATTCCAAGGGATGTACTAATTTCCTTTAACTGTATTATTGCTTCATAAAGTGAGACTGACACTCTCAATGCATTTGTAAATCAAGCCAATGGCATTAACTGAGCAAATGCATGCCACTCAGATGAGATTTTGTGCTATATTATCTGGGGTTTTCGGTATTGTTGGATTTAGGGATTTATTCTCTCAATCAAAATCCACAAGCTCATAAAAACAGAGACGGGGAGAGAAAGAATGTTTGGGAGGTGTTTAAAAGCACAGACTGACATAGTCATTCAACTTTTCAAACCTTCAGAGCAAAAGGAGTGTCAGTGTAAATATTCCTCTGAATCAAACAAACTTAGATAAGGCATAGTAGAGTAAAAGTCCTTTCCTGTCTTCAGAGCAGTCATTTGAAAGTTGATACATTCGAGTGCCAATGAAAGTGTGTAGAATTGAACTTATGTATGGAAATGTTGTCTCTCTGAGACAAATTCACACTATAAAAGTGCACGTCAGTGTCATTTGATGCCATTGATGCTTGTGACCAAATGACATCAAATCACAACACATCTAATGGTGCCATATCTCATTTAAGAGTGGAAGGGAATGTTATAAGTGAATATATTAATAATAAATTAGATAAGTGATACATTTTGGACTGTTCCTCACACAATTGTATTACTTTCGAGCTGCTTCTCACACAAAACTTAAGATTTGCGATACAATATAACATGTATATTATTATATGGATATAATATCAAAAGTCATATGAACCACTTTTATAATACTTTCTATGATTACCTAGTCAGCACTATATTTTGTGAATATGTGGGTTGCTGTAGTCATTTCATCACAAAAATGTGGATACAGCAGTATTTACAAATGCATTTAGATTAGAGATTGACCTCTGACCTTCCCTAAATCGACAGACTATGTTAACTTTCAGCACTACAAAAGATAAGGTGGCTGACTGATCAACAGTAGAGAGTGTCTGCAGAAGAAAGCAGATGCTCAGAGCAGGGTTGAACAGATATGAACACAAGTCAGCCATCTCTAAACAAAGAGCAGCTGCGAGTTTTGCACGTCTCTCCATCGGGGTATAAATCAAAACTAACACTGCATGCCAAAACAAACAAAGACTTTAACAATCATTTGCTCAAAGGTGCGAGACTTTGAATAGATTTTCATGTCAAAGGTACAATTAAATGGTTAATTTTTAATAACAAAAGGTGTGGCATGCAAACACAGGGCCTTTTAAAGGGGTCATATGATGTTGCTAAAAAGAACATTATTTTGTGTATTTGGTGTAATGAAATGTGTTTATGCGGTTTAAGGTTCAAAAAACACATTATTTTC